TCTGTTAAGTTACTACTGGATATAGGTTAACCGACGGTAAATTTTCAAAACCGCTAATTTTTGTTCCCATAACTTCCAAATCTACCGAAAATGAAATTAATATTTTAGTTATAGATAATCATTGGCTATATCAAGAAGAATTTTTTAATTGTATATATAATACAAAACTAAGCCCAACAAAATATATAATATAACAATAATTAATAGTTCTATTGATATCGCTTATAAAACCATTATCATCATATATTTGTATGTAATTATCGTATAAATGTATATATATATATGTGGTGGTAAAATAATTATTTAGTTCTACGTGAATATTTTATATTAAACATACGACAGTTATTCAATAATATTATTATTATTATAATTATTAAAATCTGAAACTCACGATTTATTAATATTCCTTGTACAGTTGGACCACTTTAAATACATACACTTTAACAAATGTCGCGTGTTGAACAAGTATACCCGTATGTGATTCCTTTCCGTTCAATGTACACTTGCCGTCGACGATCGGTTCAAAAAATCCGTTGTGATTCATTTGGTACTAAACACGTAATTAGCTTTTAGATTTCGTCGTATGTTAATCTCGTAATTGGCCTTCCTCGTATTGTCATTCTGCCGCACTACCCCTTTGTGTTTGACGTCCTGCATTCTATTTTTTAGTTTCGACGCGACAAGATAATGTAAGCATCACAACCCTCTTCCAGTGTAAACTATCACAATCATGTACATATTATATACCTTTATGTGTACAATACAGTACACATTACGTTGACAGATTCGACAACAGTCCATTTAGTTTATTGATGGAGACAAGTGAAAGCTAATGACCATCGGGGTACTTATTATATGTATATAGTATATAGTATATACGTGAAAATAATAAAAAAAAATCCCAAAATAACAACAAACAAAACCGTGTGTATAGTACGTATGATGACAGAGGGAGAGGAAAAACTGGATAACTACGTAATGTACCTAATGATTTCTGGGGGGTCGACCCTAAGTTTCTCGGTGTGGATAGTCGGTGACGACAAAGCGTTGTGATTACACATCGTGTACATGTGTGTGTGTGTGTATGAATGTCTGTCGCTGGACCGCGGGGACGTTATTATTACTTTGCTGTTTATTAAAGAGAATGCACGTCGTCATATTATCGTCATCATTCGATATCACATAAAACGTGTATGTGTATAAAATGTTACATTGTTTGCTCGTCCACGTTGTATTATCCGCAATGTTATCTCTCTTTGATACCACCGCTTCAGCCACAATCCCCTCAAGGGCTAATCACACACACACACACACACACACTCACTTACTATTTAATCTGTATTGTTGGCCTTTGTTGTGTTGCACATATAGATATTAAAAACGTACAGATAAATATTACACACATATGCCATGTGTGTAGTTTGTGCTATTATCATGTATAGGAATCACATGTTAGCTGTGGCATCTGTTCTCGATTATCAACAACAAAAGTATTTTGCCCACGAGTTGCCCGAATTTATCGATCAACGTTTTTGACGCGCTTTAAATCCTTTAAAACAGTTACACAATATAAAATACATAATAATTATGTACATTAACTAAAACTGTGTCAAAATCAGGCACTATTTAACATCGTGTTTTCATACAACTCTCATGATATAAAATAATATATGTAAACCAAATAAAACGGTTTATTTTAAATTAACAGCGTTTAAAATTATGACTAGTCGTTTTTTAAACTATAATGTCACGTTTCGCAATCAACAATCATTACGCAATGGTGGTTAAGACGTAGTGGAAAATTTTTTTTCGGATTCTATTTGTAGTTGGGTACGTAAGCGGTTATTGAAAGTGTATACGCGTATTTTCGATCGAACCCCGACGCGAAATTTACAATATTATTCTTAACTCGTTGGGAACGTGTAGATTTTCACGTACAGAGACGACCGCACGTGGATTATAAAAATACAAGAAAACCGAACACGTAATAATTGGAATTGCGGCATGGTAATGTAATTATTTATTCGAGGACTCTAGTAGTGTATATATGTATGTATATACACAATGATAATAATAGTAAAACCGTAGGTCGCGTGTGATCTCGATCTCTAAAATCGGCGGCACGTGTATACGGGGATCCGATCAATCGGAGAATAATTGTGCACATGCGACACTACAACAACGGTGTATTTTATATACACGTTGGTCAGGGGACGTGGGGAATCGTATACGATAATTATTCACCTAATCCTCGGTTATCTTCTTCCGAGGTCCTGGGTCCGATGTCGCTCCTCCTCTACACGGCACGCGCTCAATAATCCAAAACAAATATATATAATAGATGTATACATACACACACACACACACGTATATATAAATATATATATATATTATATATTTCGTCATTCCGTTGACTGCCAAGATGAGGGATGGGGACGACAGGGTGAAGGGCGAAAAAACTGAGCACGGTAAAAACTAAACACAATATGTGGAGAATAATTAGAACGTAGTATCATTGTTTGCATTTGGCATATACGTACCACTCGTGTGATTCGGGTAGAAGAAAAAATAATAATAACAGACACACCACGCGAGGGCTGCTTCCTCTGCGCGTGCACACACGCCCGTGCTCGAGCAGCGTACACAGTTTCACTTTGAAGTGCATTGTCAACAATAACACTGCACACGTCCTCCGCGCACGCATATTGCATTGCGTGCGCGCACGAATCTGCGGGGCGGTCCTTATGTGTGTGTTGAAATCTCCTCTGCGGTGTACGTTATAACATTTCAATTGCCCCGGAGACGTCGCGACGTGGCGCGTACACAGTAGTGCGCACTTGTATAGATTTTAATTTTAAATGATCATGTTCGAATTGTTTTTTTCCGAACGGAAGCGAAATAATGAAAACACGTATACGGATCACGTCCCGGCGAAATGTTTTACTTTCCGTTTTCATCGGCTGCTGAGCCAAACTTTTGACAAGCGAATACGGCTGTGCCGGCTATTTAATGTCGTCTTCGGATCGAATAATATTATACAACGTCTCCGTGCTGGTCGCAATCGATAAGTATCGTGAATTAAAAATTGAAAAGAACCTCGCGTTTAAGGGTAAACACAAGGCGTGCGATTCAAAGACCGTAACGACCGTGGTGGTCGGGTTCGTTCAATATTCATAAATGACTACGCGCGCCCCCACGAAATACATAATAGTAAAAAAAAAAACATAAAAATCTTTTGCTTCGCAAATTTTCGGGTCACATCACACAAAAAAAAAAAAAAAAAACAACGACAAAAAGAATAATTTAAAAGCATTTTCTTTTTTATCCTTGAAGCGAGCATTGTATGAATAAGTCAACAGAAAAGGTGACGTAACAGTGTACTGCTTGCCGTAAGTGCTTTTTCCGATGCTGCCAGTAAACCCACTTTATGCGAAAATATGACACGAAAAAAAAAATATATAAACACCACCAAAAAAACTTAGCGCCCTTCCGAAGAAACTCGTTAATATATATATATATATATATATGTTTTTGGTAGAAATAAAAACCAATTTTTACGTAAAAATTAGTTTTTTTTTTCTTCCAAAATTATTCACGCCCTGTTCTGTCTGTTTCGCAAGCGCACATTACTGCACACTATTATCCGGTCGAATTGCTGCCGTCATGTATATGTGTCAGTGTGTATACGAGGAAATTGTCGTATAGGCGTTAAATAATCTAATAAATAATAATAAATCTAAAGAATTGGATGGTTGCCTCAAATGTCGCCGCTAGGCTCCGCTGCCATATACTCTCTCATACGACGACGACGATGGTATATTATTATATTTTAAGTACTGGACGGTTGCCACGATTTCGCACTTTGTCTTTCGGCCATAATCTTTTAAAAATGCTCTGCATTCATGTGCGTGTGTGAGTGTGGACCAGAGAACTCGAAAGAATTAAACAAACAACAATTCACTTGTATTTCACTACGAACCGAGTCTGCAAATAACGCATGTATACGCTGATGAAAAAAAAGAACCGGTAACTATTTTCATATACACATCTCATCGACTCAAATATTATATGGTTCACCATCGTATATTGGTTTTCACCAGTGCGTCACTACTTCCGGTTACACTTGAAAACCGCTATGATGTGCGTTTAAAAAGAGTCTCCATGTGTGCGAGTGTATGGATTTTTTTTTTAGTATCGTCCCTGTAGAACCTACCGATATCGTATTAAATTTATATACACATACCTATGCGCCATTCGGACGAAAATACGATTTGCGAATCGAACTAGACATGCTTATGATTCACCGTGGAGTAAGAATTGCGTGACGAAAACACATGTTTAAATTGCACCGGAAACCGGAACACGACGATATTAATAAATAAATTAGCACATATGCGTAACGATATTGTACTTGATGCGTTGGATTCCTCACAGAAATGGTTTTCGTTTGAAATGAGAATTAACGTGGTGATGAGGACTGAGGAGTAGAGGGGGAGCAGGATGTGTGAATACTGAGGCGGTGGAACACCGCTTCGCTGTTGCGATCGAGATGAAAAAAAAGATTTTGACTATTCGGATAATTAAAACTAAAAAAAAACGACGTATAACAATAAAACTGTCACGTGGGGGAGTGTATAAACGAGACACGAAAGAAAAAAAAACCGCCGTCCCTTGACAGTCGTGTGCAGAATTTATATACTTGGCTCAGATACATGTGACACACTCACATATATTAGTTTATGTTTTACTCAGAATCGTCCGCTCATCTATAAACATTCATTAATCAAATATACGCGATTTTTAAGTGGCCGTTGTTCATCGTTGTCGTAGTCACTGTTGGCTTTGTCATGGTAAGCAAGTCGCACAATATTTCGTCGTATCCATTTCAATATATAACATACATATATATATATATATCACTACTATTAATATATTGTTATCATTATAAATATACCGTTCCGTGATATTATTTTTTTAATTTTCTTTTTTCACGATTTCAGTTCGGACACCTAAAAGGATTACCGAGCTTACCGAATCCTCAGTCGATGTTCTTTCTACCGTTGTTGGATCAACTGCGCAATTTGTCAAATTGCTCCAACGCATCTACGTTGGCCGGTCAACAGCAGCAGCCTTCAACCACGACGGCGACGACAACCAACGTTAACGTAAGTACCCGATGTTTTTTACAAACATATTTTACTCTCGGCTTGGTTATCAATTTTTGGATTGTGTAAATGTACGCATCTGGACGTCTGTATTATACGACGTTATACCCGCGTGAAAATTGATTATGAGACCTCGATGTATTCATTCCGTCTTTCACCTAACGTTTCCTCGGCCGTCTTCTCTGTTATTAGGAATCGCGTTGCTGTTTTCTAAAAATTATGTTTACGAAAATAATATTCCTACGGTTTCTCTTATCGAATTCGAATGTATGTTCATTGTTTGGTTTTTGCTCATCTCGCAGGTCGGATGGTCGAACAACGGCAGACCGCCATCCGTGTCGTCGGCTAGTCTGTGTCCAATGCAACTGCAACAGGAGCAACTGCAGCGAATGCAACACACGCCATCGCCCCAGGCACAGCAGCAGCAGCAGCAGCAGCAGCAGCAACAATCATCGGCGGCCGACCCGGATGCGCCACTGAACCTGACCAAACGCAAGTCGCCCACGCCTCAACCACAGCCGCCGCCGCCGTCGACGACGCCACAGCATCACCAACAACAGCAGCAACAGCAGCAGCACCTCCAGCAGCAACAGCAGCAGCAGCAACAGCACCACTTCCAAATGCAACAATCCGTGTTCAAGAAGAGGACTCTGGGTGACGTCACCGTCAGCTGGAACTCGTCCTCGTCCCCGCCGGCCACCACGCTGAGCACGACCAACAGGCGGTCCGGTTCGGGCCAGGGACTAGTCAGTCCACCGGCCGCGGCCACGCCGAAACTCTTGCCTCCACCTATACCGGTGCCTAGAGGATTCATGCCCTACGCCGGCATTCCGCCACCACTGCACAACTCGTCGGCCGGTGAGTTTTTTTTTATTTCCGTTTATTATAATACCTTATAATATTAATATTCAAACCATCTTCAACATTTATTTTGGTACTTAAAATATGTATAATGTTTATATGTATATATGTTATACTTTAAAATCACTGCTTGAAAATCGTATAATAATGTTGAGTATGTAATACACTTTTATGCTGTAGCTGTCCGGTTGTAATAATTTATAATATAGTTAGATTTATTAAAAAAAAAAATATAACTCATTTCTTTTAGAACCGATGTGTGCCATTAATCCTATATGAGTCAACGAAAATTGCAGTCGCGAAAATTCAAACAGTATAAATTATTTTCGTGTGAGCCTTGGAAATCGGTTTATTGGAAATCCGGTAAACCGTTAATGACTTATTATTCGCTTTATCGAACCTACCTCGGCGCTTCACGGTTCAATGCAATAATTATTTTCTTGTGTTATCTGCGCACATCTGCGTTGTTCGATAATTTGAAAACGAGTCTGATGAGAATATAATTTATTATTGTATTCTGTTTCAGATTAAACACAATATTGTTTTAACCTGTAGGGTTTTTTTTATATTTTTCTTCCATTAATATTTTGTAAACACAACATGAATGTAAAAGAGAAGAATACCCGCGTGTTTTTTCTTTCAATAACTCGTTTAACGGCATCTAAGTGGTGTCGCCTGACGACTTGCTATAGGGTCAGACTTCAATGTTTGGGTCTCTTGAATGGATCTTATCGATGTACACGTAAGAGGTCAAGCGATAAATCACCTTATTATTAAAATATATTTAATTTTGTAATTAATTAATAACCGCTTTTATTTTTTCGTCTGTCTTAAAAAAACTGTAATGATACTTGTGCTTGTGTAATTGTACAAATACATAATACCCATTTCACTGTTTATATTATATATATTTATTATTTTCAATTATGTGATCGATTTAAACAATAACTGTGTGTTAATATTAAATTTAAAAAAACACTAAAATATATTTCATAGTAAAATACATATGAATTGGCAAAAATGAAAAATATAATAGTCTCATTGGAATTAAAATAATAATGGACAAATAATATTTTTACTGCACTTTGAACCTTCTTGCTATCTAAACCGTTCGTCGGTCGCGATCTAATTGAAAAGAAAACCACGTGTAAAAATAATATAATATAGAATGTAGACGAATAAGGAGATCAAAGTTTATGCGTTCGATTAAAAAACATATTATAATAACAATAATGATAATGCTATATTTATCCCCGATAAACTCATCACGTAGCCAAATATTATTGTTATCACGATGTAATGTTGTTTTTACAGGTAAAAGACTTAGCTTATCGCCCGGCAAGGACGGCGACAAGATGTCGCCTTATCCAGGGCTCCAACTGTATACACAGCATCAGCAACTGCATCTCCATAGAGAAGAACTTTCCGAAAACATGGATTTAGGTAAGCGCGATAACTATAAAATATTGTTGCCTATTGATATGGGATTTGATTATTTTTTTGTTAATTTCCTATAGCCTGGGGATCCGGCGATCCAAACTTTAAACTCGCCGATGATACTAGCGATAGAAGTGAGTGTAAAATCAGTAATTTTCATTCTACCTAGACTATACAGAAATATCGTAGAAAGTTGCATTACAAAAATGATGGGATCGCAAGCGATTTTCATTAATAATCTGTATATTTTACGAGTGCAACCATTTTTCCAAAATTTTATTAACGATGTTAATAAAGCTAATGATGTTTAACAATGTTGTGTTTTTTTCTGCAGGTCGTATGATACGACAACAAAAGAAAGATGGCGAGCACATAAAGAGACCCATGAATGCATTCATGGTTTGGGCTAAAGATGAAAGACGAAAGATTTTGAAAGCTTGCCCTGATATGCACAATTCGAACATTTCAAAAATATTAGGTAGGTAACCTTTAAACGTGTACATAACAGATTTAATAGTATTTGTACCTGAGTTTGAGAGAACCTAAATATCAGCCCCACTTTTTTTTAAATACACTTCAAGCGCTTAAAATTATAATTATTATTTCCAATGTTTTAGACAATATACATTTTTTTTTAATTCCTAGAAATTGTAAACGAATTAGAGTTCCCCACCTGTTTTTACCATTTTAGGCATTACTATTGAGCCCAAATGCACTTTTACAAATGATGTCACGCTATTGCTTAAACTCATAATATACGTTAAAATATTTATTAAAACGGTGTGGTTTTCAGGTGCCAGATGGAAGGCGATGACAAACGCTGACAAACAGCCGTACTACGAGGAACAGTCGCGGTTGTCCAAGTTGCACATGGAAAAGCACCCGGACTACAGATACCGACCCAGGCCGAAGCGGACATGTATGATGAACGGCAAGAAAGTGAGGATATCCGAGTACAAAACGCTGATGAGGCAGCGCCGGACCGAGATGCGTCAGATTTTTTACGGAGGTGAAGGTTCAGGCCCTTCGGGTTCCGGGCCCACCGTGGCCGGCACCAGTTTCGGGTATCAGCCCGACGGGTCAATATCACCGGATATTATGTACTCGCCGACCAATTCTCCGTCCTTCGGTGGCGACAGTCACGACGAGGACTAGGTGTATACTACATAAAATGTTCGTCCTTTCTCCTCGTCTTACGTCTACTATGCAGATACTGTTAACCGGTCGATGCCACTTCTTCCGCCGTCATTCAGAATGTCATATTATATTATGTGTGTGTGCGTGTGCGTGTGTCTTTGAGTGAGTAGCGTCAACTCATATCGTTGTTGATCCTTTTTTTCTTTGTTATCTCCGCCTACGTTCCGACACCGCTTTATTAACCAGTATAAAAGGCCAGTACACTCGACTACTGATATATGCATTATAACGTGTATGTGTATATATTACAGTACTGTACATAATATACTATATACTTTCGATACGTGTGTATACGCATAGTGTATATTGGTAGTCGTTGACCAATATTAACCAAACGTAAATGTGTAGTATAAATTACTATTTTATTACAGTAATGATCGTACGTGTAGAAAAATGTATAAATTATTATATTATATAATCTGTAATTATTAGTAAAACGAAAAAGAAAAAAATAATATCGCGCGTTTATAACAATATTGTATTTTAGTGGTTATAATAAATATAATATTTTTAGTGTAAATTGTTAATAATAATTTTTGTAGGAGACAACGTTCCGTTAAGCATTTTATTCATGTCTCCGTTAATTTTCTATAGACCTAATATAATATTGAACTGGCAAAGTAAAATTTTAAATACGAACGTTATTTTAACGGTTGCTAATTTATTAATAATATATTTTATGTGTAAATAATAAATCTTTTGTGATAATACAATTTTAAAAATTGTACACACACACGCACCACATTCACACACAAGCGCGTGCGTCATGTACATATTTTATATAGTATATATGCGAGATTTTGTAATTTCTTATGTTTTGCCGTAACGGCGGCGAGTTACATCGCAGTGATCGATTGACAAAATAGTAAATAATATAATATTATTAAAATTTGTGTAACCATTATTATTATTTTCTTCGAACGAGAAGATACTTAATTGCCTGTACATATATATAGTTATTGATACATAGTCGTACAAACGCCGCCGTCGGCTTTATGATCTCTGTTTTATTATTATTTTATCGTGATGGTAAGAAATTTTTATTAGTCTACTGTATTTTATTTTATTTTATTTTTTTTTATTATTTTTTTTTTTTTATGCATATTTTGTACATATTGTATAATAATTTTATTAAATATTTATAACGTATATAAGGAGACTAGCATTTATAGAGACAAAACTAAATTTTCTTCAAACATATATTATAATTCAGTTGTACGTAATAATGTAAATAATTAGATATTAAGGTAGATAATGTAGTAAATAAGTAGATTTATTGAAGTCAATTTCGCTAATCCTCTCCCAACCCATCTCAAACGCCAGTTTCCATCATCATGGTACAATGCCTGATATTTTTTATAACTTCAATTTTAATTTTGTTCTCTCTATTTCGTCTCCTCAACTCCTCTCCAACAAATATTTGTTTTTTGTTTTATTATTATTATTTTATTTTTTTTCATATGCGTACATACATAATGAATAGATTTACTTTTTATTTTCTTTACATAATATTGTTATATAAACTATAGTATTATGATTATTATCAAATCATAATATTTGAATGTGAATCGATGTTTTAATGTATTACAAGAAAAAAAGTCTGTTTAACTTTTTATTATTATTATTTTTATTATTTGTAAATATGTTTTTTTTTTTTTTTAATTTTAACGAGCAATTACTTAGACAGATTGTTGTTATATTGTATAAAGATAAACCTGTAAAAAAAAAAAAAAAATTGATCAATATTTTATCAATCGCCAACGCAATAGATTTTGTTGAAAAAAACAATACTCCGTTGCCAAATTTCCTTTTAATTAGCTAAATGGTGTCATCGTTTTTTGTACAATAATAATTTATAATATATATTTAATACATTTATCAATTTAAGGTATTTTATAATCCTGTGTGTTGTACTAGTGTGTGTATACATTAGATAGGTAGTTATTTATTTTGTTTCTTTCATTGTCTGAATTATTATTATAAAACATATTATATATAATATTCTTTATTCTTTGTCAAAGTGTTAAAAAAAAAGCATACAAATTGAATGAAATATAGTAAAAATATTATTAATCATTTTTGCTTTTTCATTAAATCAACACATAAACTGGAAAAAATTTAAATTAGTATGTATGTGAAAAAACAAAACATTAGTGTTTGAAATACAGCAATTAACTCTACTGGTTACAATTATTGGATATTTATTACTGTAAATTTACAGCACCAATAGAATAATGATTAATGATTAATATCATTTTTCTCTTATAAGTTATATAATATTGGGGTTGAATAATAATAATATTATAAACAAAGGAAATTATAAAATTACCGTAAAATAAAAATTCAGTAATGAAAAATATTAAGGTAATATAAAACCCATTGGCAGTTAACAGCAATGCGCTTAAAAGCCTCGTATGTAATATATATAAAAGATTTGCAACGTGAAGTAAGGCCGTTACTGGAAAAAAATTTCAAGAGTGTCTAACATTATTATTTAATACAATTTATAGCTAATAAACTATATTCATCACTAAAATGTTTCTACTTTTGAAAATTTCGGGGGGGGGGTCCGAAACCTTGGACCCCCCCCCCCAGTTACGGCCTTGACAAGCTGTATTAAAAAAATGTCTCACAAAACGATGTCATTGAATTTTTGGATCATTTATGTAGTGAATGAGACATTAATTTAATCGATGATTGCAGAAATGTCACATATTTTATGAAATTGAAATATTAGTAAAAACGTATTCTAGTCATGTGTTTCTGTGCGTTGAATGTAAAAATGTCTTTCTTTAAATATTCTTTTTTTTATCAGATAAATCAATAACAATAACCAGCGTTTTTACCATATATTAAACACATAGAAACACATGACTAGTATACATTTTTACTAATATCTAAATTTCATAAGATATTTAATTCGTGACGTTTCTGCAATTATTGGTTCGATTAATTTTTGTCGGTTAAAAGATACAAGGTAAAAATAAAGTTAAAATACGTGTAACCATACGGTTACAAGAATATAAATTTGTTGATGGATTCACATATTTTATGAACATGAACTGCACACAGTGTGAAGTTAGATAACCAAAAGTACAGACGTGCTTATAAAAAAGTATTTTTGTAAGGGGTTTGTTAAAATAATTTTAAACAATTATTTTATAGTTAAGAATTATTTTTTTCTTAAGGGGGCTGGAGCGACCACTTTTTTTTTTTCATACATTTAACTTAATAAGCGAAAGTAAATTAAACATACTTCCAGTAGCTCAATTTAAATTTTGAAAAATAATTTTGGTTTGTCTTCCTCTTTTCTAAGTTTGCTCGAAAGTGGAATCTTATATTTTTCATTTTGTCGCTATCTACAACTAAGTCAAGTATACGTTTATTTTGAGAAAAATATAAACGTACTATGTATCATATTATATTAACTAAAAATAAAATCGTAAATCTATTTCTGAGCAAACCTAGAAAATAGACTAACGAATTCAATCATTTTCAAAATTAATACAAGTCAATCGATACTAGGTGAATTTCTATTTCTTTTTCGGTACGGTTTGCATCAAATTTCTGCCCTACAACCGGAGCAAAAATATTTTCTTCGTGTCCATTGACTTGTGCATGCGTTGGAACATTTTTAAGAATCTTAGTAGCCAATACCCGTATTCTGAACGATTATAAATCAATTAGAGCTAACGACTACAGAAATAAAAATGATAATGTATTGTAATTGTGAAATATAAAATATACTATGGTTATAAGTAGATTTATGTTACGATAACGCAAAATAGAATATTAGTCTACTCTGTCACTAATTTCATACGACATCTAGACTAACCAGTGAAGTTTAATTTTTTTTTAAAGATGGACAGCTGCATCTCAAACGTAATCATAACGACTATTACCAAGTACAAGGGCAATTGCACATTTCAAATAAATTAAAATTATAAATATAATTTGGCACCCCCGGACATATTAATGGTTTATACAAGATACATATATATAAATATATCAAAATTAACGGTGCTCAAAATAGTATAAAAAAAATTCCAATGAAATTAATAGGTACACTTTTGTCAAAACTGTTTCCTTTAATTATAACATTTTTTAAAATCTGATCTATACTAACGAATGAAATTTTTTTAAACTTGACATATACTTGTATTATAATTTATATTTTTTGTGACATTTTTAAATATTTAAAAATGACGATATGTGTTTATTCAAAACTCTACCGAGACAATATTTAACCTATACTTGTTTTATACTTTATAAATAGTTAAATAGAATGGACATATTATAATATGAAATTATGTAATATTTTAAAAACTCTAATATAATTGTGCCTATATTTGACTAATATATCATTGTTATCTACTTGTATTAAAATGTATAATGAAAGAATATGTAACAATTTTAAATGGTTCCCAAACGTCTTTTCACAAAAATACATTTTGGCGGAAACGAAAATCATACCATTTTCGTTTCTGGCGAAATAGGGCTATGCGTAAATCAGGATACCGGATTTTTGGCGAAAACGAGATATACCCAAAGTTATTATATTACTTTATATAAAGATCTATGCTGGGCGATTTCAATTATTCCAAAAATATAAATAACCACACAATTACTTCCGTGATTTCCGATAGTCGCCATAGCAATAATGATGTGTTTTGAGTGATAATTATAGAAATAATTTTTAAGTCTCTGTACATATATAAAGAAAAAAATTTAAATATTTTTTATGTAGATATGTCACATAAAAAATACGGGGAGAGGCTTTTAAATAAGTTAAAATGAGATCTCAATTTTTTTTTTTTTTAAGGCGGCAAAATTTAATTTCGCTTAGTGCACTATTTTTGCTTGGGCCGGTCCTGAATATTATGGACGTAGACGTTTCCGATGTTTTTGAGACCAAACATGGGAAAAAGTGCGTTGCGATAAACAATTATAAATTTAGTAAATTCATAAAAAATAAAAATACAATTAAAATATGACGTTGCCAAATCAATAATTGTCAATAAATCGCGTCCAAATTTTTATCAATATGTTCCCAAATGTGTTATTTGTCTAGATACATAGTGTACCCAAATGGTGTGTTCATTTGTACCCAAACGTGTTGCATTTAGGGTCGACTATACTCAAACGTGTTACGGTTTGATCGTATCTACCTATATCATCAAATATACTCTTATATGCATAAATTTTATTTAGAACAGTTATAAATGGTATCTAAGTATTATTTTTAACTATGTATTGACATACACATTTGAGTAAATCAGAAACTGATTCGAAACCAAATATTTAGTTCAGCGCTAAAAAGGATACATGATGTCATTGGTGTAAAAGGTAAATTTCATTATTATAATTTTTAGTCAAAATTATAATACTATTGACTAACAATTATTTATACTGTTGTAA